TCCCTCCTTGACGCTGTAAATTTGCTTAGCTTGAATTGTTTCCTTAATACATAGCACCACTCTTCTCTTCTTTTGTTGTGATAATTATGTGAATAGTTTCCCCAATTTGGGGTATTCCAGTAGTTTATGTTGTTCTTTTATATGAGCTTCTTGCAGTGCTATTATATCTAAATTCAATCTTTGTATTTTAGTGTGAGTTTTCTTCCTTTTCATGAGAGAATTCAGTCCATTAATATTTAGTGATAGAATCTTAAAATCTTCTTGCATTTTTCTATCTATATCTAGGTCTTATGCTCCTTGTTCTAATTTCTCTCGGTTCCTTGGGTCTTGTTCCATTGCTGTCTGATCTTTCTCCTTTCTCTTTTTCTCCAACTTTTGGCTACGGTTCTTTTTCTTCCATAACATGTATTCTTTGATCCTTTTCTTCTGTTGCTTCCCTCTCCTCTAGATCCTCTTCGTTACCAAAGTGCTGATTATAAAATTCTACCACTTTGTCCAATGACTCCACTCTGTATCTCTTTTCACACCATGAGACCAATATTTCGTCCAGAGTCAACCATCTAAAATTGATGTTATATTTGATCAACAATGAGGTTAAAAATTGGTACGGACTTCTCAACTCTCTGACTCTTCTTGGAACCTGTTTAAGGACTACCAATTGCTTCCCTTTATACTCTATTGGTTCATCTCTTGTCCCATTAAGCACTTCATCTCGCATCAATTTCTTCATGAATCTTACATTCACCTCTTTCGGAAGATTGTGCCTCCTCACATAGTTCATGTGGATTCTGTATGTCTCATCTATTTCTGTCAGCATCTCTTCTTTCTGTGTGAGCTGCAATAACTCAAATGGTCTATTTTGCTCTGGCGAAACTTGCATTTGGAAAGTTTGGCATAGAGTTTGGTGGCTTGCAGTTTTTTGAATATGGCCCTCACTAGTTTCACATGCTCTGCCTTCATTTCAGTGTAGATTAAAATGTCATCTAGATACCCCAGTACCCCCTTATCAGTGGTGTGATTCAACCAGTGTAACAACCGATTCGGTGATCGCACACTTTGCGCTGTTTTCTCAAGCAATAAATCACATTGTCCAATCTGGGTAATGGCTGGTTGCCTGGTTACCTTTCTCCTCCTTCTCTGGCTAGCCAGCCATTGGAGTGTCTCTGACTCATAAGATAACTATTTTGTTTTGGCTACAAAACCCCAACTACCTGTACTCCCCCCTCAGCTCCAGGCTGTGTCAACCGTGAAGCCATGTGAAAGGAAATCCTCATAGAGAAACTACAGAAGCAAAAATAAAATAAAATGGCCACAGCCAGGTCAGCTTTAGGATTGACAGGCTGTCCCTCCTCAGTTGAAGAAACCCTCCTGCAAAATTCGTTGCTTTAACATTTTTTCTAACCATGTATTTTTGTCCAATATTTCTTTGCTTTGCTTTTACACATGTCTACCACATGTGATAATACATACCCAGTGTCTGGTTTCATTTCCAACATCTGGCAGGCAGTCCCTTCTATCTTCATTACCCCTCCAGGGTGACTTTGGCCCCTTAGGGACTCCAGATGAAAAGAAATCAGTCGGGTTTCACAGAGTCGGTTCACTACAGCTGGCCCTCCACGATGACAACCAGCCCATTTCTAATCTAATGAATGGTATTTAGGGCAGCTTTTTGCAAGCAAAGAAGCTTTTTGTATTTTTGTACAGGTAATCCTTGATTTACAACATTCATTTAGTGACCATTCAAAGTTACAATGGCACTGAAAAAAGTGGCTTATGGCAATTTTTCACACTTACGACCATTGCAGCATCCCCGTGGTCACATGATCAAAATTCAGGTTGACAACTGTCTCACATTTATGACAGTTGTAGTCTCCCCGGGTCATGTGATCCCCCTTTTGCAACCTTCTGAGAAGTAAAGTCAATGGGGAGGCCAGATTCACTTAACAGCCATATTACTAACTTAACAAATGCAGTGATTCACGTAACAAATGTGGCAAAGAAAGTCATGAAATGGGGCAAAATTCACTTAATAAATTTCTCAGTTAGCAATATAAATTTTGGACTCAATTGTGGTTGCAAGTCAAGGAGATGTGAGGCCAGATGAGGCGAGGTGTGACAAGGAGTGGTTGGGGGGAGGTGGGGCCGTGCATGGGAAGGAGAGGCTGGGCGAGGTGAGGCGCTCCTCAATGTGAGTGACATTGAGTTGGCCATGCCCACCCAGTCACATGACACCCAGCCATGCCTACCCAGCCGGTCATTAGGACAGAGAACCGGTTGTTAAATTATTTGAATCCCACCATTGTCCTATCTGCTTTTCTGTAGCCCGCCAGAGCAGTTCTCTTTGGTGCACAGAGGGGAGTCAAATTCCTGTGGTAGAATAAAGAAACAGATCCTGAAGATCCAAGCTCTATTCCTGCAACTTCTGAGAACAGTTCTCTTCTGCACCCAGAGGGGAGCTAAATTTCTGTAAAGGAGTGGAGAATCCAAAGATCTGAGTTCCATTCCCGAAACCCCACTGGAGCACACGGAGGGGAACTAAACTCAAGAGGCAGCTCTTTCACTCCATCCACTTAATGACCCAGGAGATTGCTTAATGACTAGAACCAAGGGCCCTGGGATTGTGGTTGTTGAGCAAAGCGGTCATGTGGGATTCTGGCTTAATGACTGCTTTGTTCAATGACCAAGATTCCAGTTCCAATTGTGGTCATAAATTGAGGACTATCTGTATAGGATTAATAGTATGTGTGAAAGGGATCTAGGAATTGTAACTAAATGAGAGTCAATAGTATAACATGCCTACTAAAAAGCTTGTCTCAATTAAAGTAAGACCCCACCTTGAATCCTGTATTCCAGTCTCTCTCCCTCCCTCCCTCCCTCTCTCTCCTCTCCCTTTCTCTCTCTCTCCCTTCCTCCCCTCTCTCTTTCTCACACACACAAATTTAGGAACTATATTTTTATTTTATTTTATTTATTTATTTTTGTCAATTGCTTACAAGATAATAGGTATAAGTAAAAACATAGTTATGAATACATGGATACATCTAAGAAAAACAAAAAAAATAAAAGAAACAATAGGACAGGGACGGTAGGCACGTTGGTGTGCTTACACACGCCCCCTATAGACCTCTTAGGAAAGGGGTGAGTTTAATAGTAGAAAGTCTAAGGTTAAAGTTTTTGGGGTTTGGGGAAGAAAGCACAGAATCAGGTAGAGTATTCCAGACATTGACCACTCTGTTGCTGAAGTCGTATTTCCTGCAATCAAGTTTGGTGCAATTAACCTTGAGTTTGTATCTATTGTGTGCTCTTGTATTGTTATGGTTGAAGCGGAAGTATTCATTGACAGGTAGGACATTGCAATGTATGATTTTATATACTATACTTAGATTGGACCGAAGGCGGCGTAGTTCTAGGTTTTCTAGGTCTAGAATTTCGAGTGTGGTGGCATAAGGTATTCTGCAACAAGTAGAGGAGTGGAGAACTCTTCTTGTGAAATATTTCTGGACTTTCTCAACTGTGTTAATATAGATACGTAATGTGGGTTCCAGACTGATGAGCTGTATTCGAGTATTGGTCTAGCAAATGTTTTGTATGCTCTAGTTATTAGTGTAATATTACCAGAGAAAAAGCTACATAAGATTAGCTAACAACTCCACACTTTGAAAAGATCTAGAGAAACTTGTTTGAATGTTAATTTTATATTGTATCCAACAGATATTAAATTTCTTGGGATTCTGAATATTTGCACATAAACACATTATGTGCTTCAAATTTCTAAGCTCTAAATTCTATGTCTTTATTCTTCTTTATCCTTGACCTTACAGGTACTCCTTGACTTACAACCAGTTGTTTAGCAATGGTTCAAAGTTATGGCAGACCTACCTTGGGTCTACATACAACGCAGATTCAGTGTTACGATGGTTACAGCCCCCAGGGTCACGTGACAGACTTTTGGGAACATGGTATCCTGGATGTAGCATGTTTGGGGCATTCCATGTCGCATGACCATGTTTTACAATTGTTTTGTTGAGAAGTGGCATTTACTTCTAATTTTCAGCAAAATTAACTTGTTTTGTTCGCTTAATGACTGCCACAAACAAGGTCATAATATCAGATCAGTCATGTGACAATCATGGTACATCAAGAATTGCCTTTACCTATTATCATATTGCAGAACAGGAGCCTGATTTTAAAAAAAGAAATTATAGATACTTGGAGTATAATTCTTTTTATTTTCTTAAACAAACAAATGAATAAAATAAAATAGTATATCTGATGCAGATTCTTGATGAGTAATACCTACCATTTTAAAAGATCTGCCTGGATCTCTTAGCAACTTCCTTTTTGAAAACAAAAGCATAATATATAGGAATAAAAAAATTAAAGGCACCCTTCAGGTGATCTGAGCTCCAGAGATAACTGAGTTTCATGCAGAATATTTCTGGCAACAGTAAGGAAATGCTTTGCTTTGCCTGCTTTCCTTTTCCTTTTCTCCATTTAGTGTACAATTTTTGGAATCTGCTGCTTATCACCATCCAAATACTAATCAAGTTCGACCTTGATTTGTTTTTCCAAGATCAGCTAAATTGATTAGATGCTAATTGTCCTTTTTAAAATTATCATTCCTGCTTTTAAATACTCCATCCGTATGCAAATATTGTTATCTCTTTTTACATACTTTGAAAACCACTTCAGAATGGATTTGAGGAAAGAAATAGTTTAATTAATTAAAGAATTTTAAAAATTAGAAAAGCTGCTTTTTTCTTTCTCCATCTTTTTTTACTAATTAAATCTACAAGCATTTTAAAAAACATCTGTTTTTCTATGTTAAATGAATTGGGAATTAGGGGATTGCAGATTTTATTGCATTCAACAAAGTAAGTACATTTATTTGATCCTTTGGCAAAGAAAAATTGAAACAAGCAATCAAATTAAAGTGTGTTGTGCATGGCCTTTAAAACATGTTCAAGTACACTGATATTTCTGTTCTTTTCACTTTGCAGCCAAAACCACCCAATCCTGATTGGCGTTATTCTGCATCTTTACGAGCTGGAATACAAGGGTATGTACTACAAGAAGATTTTTTGGTCTTTGTGTTGTTTTAAATCAGGGTGTCAAACTCGTAGCCTGCAGGCCTGATTCATCACGTGCTGACCACGCCCACCCCTACTTTAGCAAAGGGGGGGAAAGTTGCAATGCATCACGTGACAGTGTGATGCTGCAAGTTTCATATCCTTGCTTTATAATTCCCTAGGTAATTCTCCTATCTGTGCTTCTCTGCAGAAGTTTGGAAAATTAGAAGTGTGTACCAATCATCAGATTCAGTACAAATGTGAAATACAATAATATGGAAAATTGTTTTAATTTCAGGCCACCTAATTCAGAATTAAGAAATCTGAACTTATGTGCTTCTTTCTGACTAAGTGAAGTCAAGAATGCTAGGAGAGACCTGTTAGTTTTGTTAGTGGTAAAAAATTGGATGGAGGTGCTACAAGATTGCTTCCAAAGTCACCAACAGTGATTTTTTTTCCTGAGTTTTAAATCAAAACTAGCTACAAAATACTTAGCGTCTTAGCCTTTCTGCATGGATCAATGCTGATACATTTGCAGCAAATTTTATGAAACATAGTGTTTAAAAATGGTGCCATTTTTATAAACACGACAAAGGGCATAGAAGATGACCAATAGATTGCAAAATATACAAGCAACAGCGTTGTGAAAGAGGAATGATTATTCTTCTCTTTCTATGTAGTTTTTTTTTTCACATAAAAATAACAAGAAATAAATTGTGCTCGAACTTTGAAATGCTTCAGATCTTTGGACACATGGTAGTTTAATAAATGAAAAACAGTTTTAGGCATTTTTATTTTTGTGTTCTGACAGTTTTTATTTCTGTTGGCATGCAGGCCAGGTGTGGGATTCAAATTTCTTAACAACCGGTTCTGTGGATGTGGCCTAATTTGTGGGTGTGGCTTGGTAGTCACGTGACTGGCTAGGCGTGGCTTGCTGACTGGGCGTGGCTTGGTGGTCATGTGACTGGCTGGGCATGACTTGTATGTAAATATTGTAAATATTTATGTAAATATTGAATTTTTTATTTTAAAAAAAGAGCAACTGTTACCCAAAATCAGGCAAAGCAGGCAGGCAGATGGAGTTGCTCACAGAATCATAGATTCACTTAAAGATCTATCCATCTGCAATCTGCTACCTGAGTCTGTCACATAAAATTTGCTTGCAAGCAAACTCACAAAATTAACACGCAATACACCGTGTATGTAAATATTGAATTTTTTTTATAAAAAAAGAGCAACTTTTATCCAAAATCAGGCAAAGCAGGCAGGCAGATTGAGTTGCTCACAGAATCTCAGATTCACTTAGAGATCTATCTATCTGCAATCTGCTACCTGAGTCTGCACTGAATAATAGAAGCTTCAGTCCTAAGGAAGGTTCAGCTCTGCTTTTAGATTAGCTAGAAAGCAAGAAATTCAATGATTTCCTGCTTTCTAGCTAATCTAAATGTCCCGGAACAGCAGAACAGCTGATGGTCTAGGGGGAAAAAAGGAAAAATAGCAATTTAGCAAACAAGTTTGATGGTGCGCATATCAGGTAAGGAGTGAGTGGGTGGGGACGGGAGGGGCCAGCCAGTGGTGCAATTTGCCAGTTCTCCGAACTGGGCAGAATCAGAACAATAGGTTCTATAGAACAGGTCCGACCAGGTAGAATCCCACCCCTGATGCAGGCTAAGTCTCTCCCTCTCTTCATTTTCCAATGAAGCTTTAAAAGGTTGAAATTGTGATTCAGCCTGTTTAATTGAATCACCATTTAGTGTACTTTCAGTCCCAAATTCCTTGAAAGCACTTGGAAGATAATCTGTAATAGCCTTTGAATCTTCCATCTTTTAAATGCTAGAACTGCAACCTAAACTGTCGCTGGTCCTGCACTGAGAAAAATCCTTCCGCTCCACTCCACCTAAAATGAAAATTATTGTACACTCCCCTCCTCTTTTTTATTGCATGCATTTGTCTGGTAATATACAAAAATAATTCTTGTGAGGGGAAATTTCAAAATCAAAGCACCTTTCCTTTTGAAAGATCTGAGTCCCATGAGTCAGAAAAGTTGGTGAGAGAAGAATTCTTGCAAGTGGGGAAATGTGTTCTGAGCTTTGATATTCTTTTAGATGCACTATAACTGAGCCAGAATAAAAGTGGTCAGCTGTTGATTCACAGAGTTATTGAGTACAGATTGGTTATTTATATCAAAAGAAACTGTTTTTCTGAGAAGTATATAATCTAAACTTTGTGATTTATTTAGTGCTGTACACATGGAAGAGACAGGAGGCCTGCGTGTTGGATCTGGAGGACCCGAACAGCAGTGGCCAACAGTATCCAGTGCAACAACAGGTAAGGAAATAACATATATATATATCACACATACGTGCTAATCGTTTCCAGCTCTAGGAAGCAGTACTCATCTCCGTTACAAAGCCAAAGAGCCAGCACTGTCCGAAAACATCTCTGTGGTCATGTGGCTGGCATGACTAAACTCTGAAGGTGCATGGAACGCTGTTACCTTCCCACCAAAATGGTCCCTATTTTTCTGCTTGCATTTTACATGCTTTCAAACTGCTAGGTTGGCAGAAACTGGGACAAGTAACGGGACTTCACTCCATTACATGGTGCTAGGGATTCGACCTGTCAAACGGCTGACCTTTCTGATTGACAAGCTCAGCGTCTTAGCTACTGAGCCACCATGTCCCTCATATATATATGGAACTGATTTGAAAAGCATGTACTTGACTTCTGATGGTGAGGTCACAGGAGTGGAGTGGAGCAGGAGAGCGATCTCTGCAATCCTGTATCCGAATTTTCGTGCTTGGAAGCTGTCAGAGGCATCGTGAAGCTTGGAGAGACATACGACTTAGAAGGGGAAGCCTAGGAGCAGAGTGGAGGAAAGCAACCTCCTGCTGCAACAAGGGAAAGCCCTTTGAATCCGGTGCGAAAGAAACCCAGCATTTATGGCGGGTCCGAAGCTGTGACAACCAGCTGCGATCGGGAAGCAGGAAAGTGGATCAGTGCAAGACATCAGAAGAAGAACAGCAGACTGGGACAGTTTTTGAGAGGTGAGAGAAGAGGGCCCTGTGAAAGACTTTGACAGGGAGTCTCCGGAGAGAGTGAATACAGCGACTAATTGGCAGGGGATAGCAGAGCGAAAGGGAGAGGAGGAAACAGAACAGTTTGACAGCTGAGAGAGAACAACGCAGAAGAAAAGATCGAGACTCTGTGAATAAAAACTTAAAATTTGTATGATTTGGATTGATTACTTGTAGAGCAGAAAAGAGACATTAGAGAGAACAATTGGAACTTTAATGGAGAACTGTAGTTGAACGGAGAGTGGAATCATTTTGATAGAAAGCTGTGACTGTGCAGAAGAAAGGAAAAGAAGAAGGAAGAAAGAAGAAAGCTGAATAATTTCTAAGCATTAAATTCAAAAGTGTATATTGAAAAAAAAATCTAAAGCAATATATGTATATGTATGTATATGTGTGTATATATATATATATATATATATATATATATATATATATATATATGTGATTGCTCGCAAGAAGAATTAATTTATGTATCCTATTTCATAGATTGCTACATTTTTTATAACTGCTACACCCTATATATCCTTTATATCTTTCTACAATTTGATACCTCGGATAACAACTAATTAATTAATTGATGTATAACTAATTAATGGCTATATATTGATTCATAGACTTAATTGAACTACAAGAACGTTATAAGATAGAGTATATAAGAAAAGAAACAATCAAACACATATTTATCTATATTTATTGAATTATATATGTTTACTATATAAGCTATTATATTTAGAATTATACTTAATTTATTAAAAGGATTAAATCAGATCAGAAGCTTGGAAGGTTTACAGACTATCATAGATTAAAAACAGTAACAATATTTAGTTTTACATTGTTGTATAAATACAAAGTGTGCATAAAATTAAGGAGAAACATTATTGAGTATATTAGACCTTGTAGTGATAAACTGAAGGGATTAGAATAAGATAAAAGGGAAGAGATAAACATAGAAAACGCAGAAGGGAATTGATACAATGGAAGATAATATTGAAAGACTTTCTTAAGAAAATAGGTAGATTTGGGAAGCCTAAGATGTCCACCACAACAACTACTGCTAAGATTGGGAAGAAAACAACATCCAACCCAACATCAACAATAACATCACCAGCAGGACAATGTTTGATAGAGGGCATGCTGAATCCTGAGAAGGCGAGTCAGGTATCAAATATGCAAACAATTCAACATTAACATTAACAATACAAGAAACGATGGTGAGAAATCACGCAGACTTTAAAACTGAAATGGGGGAGATGAAAGGTAAAATATGGAAACTAGACGAGAAGATAAGTACAATCCAACAAACAGTAGTAAAGACGGAACATAAAATGAAAGCAGTGGAGGCAAAGGTCGAACAAACAGATAAGAAAGTAGAATCAATAGAACAGAAATTAATGGGAGAGAACAGGAAATTAGAAGAGGCAATTGTATATTTGGAGATGGAAAAGGTTGATTTCTTCCTCAGATTTCAGAATGTAACAGAAGAAAGGGGGGAGGACTTGCCCAAATTAATGGCAAATCTCATAGCAGAAGCGTTACAAAAAGAGGGCCAAGAGGTTTGAAGGGAAATCGACGTATATAGAATATATACCAACTATACAAGACGTTTTAGACTTCCAAGAGAGGTTAATATACGATTCTCAAAGAAACAACTGAGAGATGAGATATACAAAGTGACAAGAGGCTGATATTTAAGGGAACAGAAATTGTAACGTTGAAACAAATTCCAAAAAGAATAAGGCAACATAGAAAGAAATACAGATTCCTGGCTGCCCAACTGAATAAGAATAACATCCTGTTCAAATGGCTCATCCCAGAAGGAATGTTAATATCATGGCAGGATAAAAAAATTAAAATAGACAGTATAGAAAAATCGAGGGAATTCTTTGAACTGTATGTGGTATCAGGAGAAGACCAGAACAGCAAAGAGGAAGTGGAAAGTAGGAGCCAAGAAGAAGATCGGGTAGAGGAAAGAGAAACAGAACAAGAGGAAAGAGAGGAGGAAGAAGTGGAAAGAGAAGGCATAAGAACGAGATACCAAACGAGAGCAAATAAGCTTCAACAAGAAACAACTACAGAGTAAGATGGCGGAAGGAATCAAATTGATTTCCATTAACATCAATGGTTTAAATTCACAAATTAAGAGGAAAAAAATGATAATTAAACTATAGAAACTGAACTTAGATATTATATGCCTTCAAGAAACATATATCCAGAAACATCAAAGTAAACTGTTAGAAGCACCAATTTAAGAGATTTATACGTATCTCTAGCCTAACAAAAAAAGAGGGGGATAGCAATATACATTAGGAAACATTTACAAGCAAAACAGGTATATGCAGATGAGGAGGGCAGGATTTTGATGTTAGAAGTTTATATAAATTATAAGAAAATGTTATTGCGCCGAATGAGAAACAAGAAAAATTTTATACCAAACTATACAGAAAATTAGTAGAACAGGAATATGAGTACATATGCCTGCTAAGTGATTTCAATGCAATAGCAAATTTAGGAAAAGATTATAATAATGGAAATCCAAGGAAAAAAAGGAAAAGGAAAACATTACCAAAAGTATTCTGTCAAATGGCGGAAGAATTAGGATTAAAGGATATATAGCGAGAAAGAAATCCAGACAAAAAACAGTATACTTACTATTCAGCACCACACACATCATGGTCAAGATTGGATATGTTATGGACAAATGGGGAAATGGAACGTAATATAAAAGAAATAGAAATTGAATCTAACACATGGGTGGACCATAATCTCATTAAAATAATTTGGAAAGGATTGAAAAAAAAACAAACAGAAGATGGATGCTAAACAAGGAGATCCTAAAAGAAAAAGAATGTGTTAAGATGATGGGAAAAGAATTGGAGTTCTTTCTGAAGGAAAACAAAAAACCACAAACATCAATTCCAAACCTACAGGACACGACTAAAGCATATATCAGGGGCCTAGCAATTTCATATAATAGATATAAGGGGAGAAAAGGAGAACAACACCACATAATAAGACAGCAAATACGGAGAGAATAATGATTAGACATAAATTGAATATGTTAGCAAAAGATGATTGGTTACAGGACATGAAAAAGATAAAACAGAATTATTTTGAACACTCGAACAAGCTGTGGAGGTGGCTAGCCTATAGACTTAAGAAAGAATAAGAAAAAAGAGCAATTCAACAATTGAAAGATGCTGATGGTACCCTACAACAACAAACTGAAAAGAAAAAACATATTGTTAAAAGTTTTTTTTTTTGAGGAATTATCTAGTAGGGAAGACATACCAGAGGGAAATATCCAACATTACTTAGAAGGAAAAGAACTACCTGTGATCCTGGAAGAGGATAAAGAAGAGATAAACAGGGAAATAACATTAAGAGGCAAGGGAAATAACTGCAAGGGGCAATCCTGAAACAGAAAAACAATAAGACACCGGGAATGGATGGTCTCCCAGGGGAACTGTATAAAATGCTCCAAGAAAAATTAGAGATGCAATTATTATAACTCTATAATGAGGTACTGATAACAGCAAAATTACCTAAGTCATGGGGGGAGACATACATAACATTGATCCCAAAAGAAGATTCGGATCATCAATTAATTCAAAATTATAGGCCCATATCTTTTTTAAATGTTGATTATAAAATATTTATGTCCATAATGGCAGAAAGATTGAAAAAAACTCTTAATAAGATCATAGCAACCAAAACAGATTCTTACCGAATAGACAAATTAAAAATAATACCAGAATGGTATTGGATATAATAGAATATTATGAAGCAAACCCAGGAAAACAATTGGCAATGGTCTTCCTTGATGTACAAAAGGCATTTGACAATGTTAATTGGCAGTTCATAATACAACAATTAAAAAGCATGCAATTTAGCAATAAATTTATTAAATTGATTTCAACAATTTATACGGCACAGACGGCCAGTGTAATAATGAACGGTGACAGAACGGAAACATTCAAGATCAACAAGGGAGTAAGGCAGGGGTGCCCACTGTCACCCTTCTCTTTATTCTTACATTAGAAAACTTATTGGAAAACGTTGGGAAAAATGTAGAAATCAAAGGGGCTTTAATTAAAAAGGAGCATTATAAGGTACAGGCATTTGCTGGTGATATAGTATTTATATGGGAAGATCCAGAGAATACGGGAGTAAAATTAATAAAGGAAATAGAGGAATTTGGCAAGGTTGCAGCCTTAAGATTAATAAAAACAAAACATAATTATTGACTAAAAA